AGCACTGTATACTGTTATTGCTCCTTTAAAAAATAAAAGCTTCCTTTTCTAGTTGATTACTACACAAATCCATCCCCAATTTTCTCTTGTCTTTCTTAGCTTCCCATAGTTTCCGCTCCACTTACATTTACCATAGTGCCCAGTACCATTCAAAATGATTCCAGATTTAGCTCCCTGGTTTTCAATGTTTTCTTACGCTTACTCTCTGATAGCGTAATGGTTACAAATCGGGCTGCGAACCACAAGGTCAGCAGTTTGAAACTACCAGCTGTTCCGCGGGAGAAAAATGAGGCTTTCGGCTCCTGTAAAGATTTACAGCCTCGGAAACCCTGTTCAGGTTCGCTATGAGTTGGAACCGACTCCATGTCACATAACAACAACAACAACAACCCTCTGATAAAAATTTAAGAGAAGCAAGTCCCTCTCTTTTCTCCTCTATACTTTTCCAAGATTTGTAGGAATTGGTGTGGCGCTGCGGGTTAATGCATTGGAGCAAGGTCAGTTTGAGCCACAAGGTCGGCAGTTCAAATGCACCAACCACTCCTGGGAAACCCTATACAGGGTCACTATGAGTTGGAACTGAATCAACGGCACTCAACAACCACAAGCCTCTGACAAACTGTTCGTCTATTTTACAAGTGCTATTTGTAAGTCTTAATGGAACCCCAGTGAACAACAGAGCCAAGAATAAATTGGTGGTGGTGATTATGTGCTGTGGAGTCGGTTCCGACTCACAGTTACCCTGCATAGGATTTCCAAGGCTGTAAATCATTATGGGAGCAGAAAGTCTTATCTTTCTCCCACGGAACAACTGGTAGTTTTGAACTATTGACCTTAAGGCTAGCAGCCTGACTCATAACCACTATGCTAAAATTGCTTTAACATTGCTCTATTAAAGGGATGCTTATTCAATGATTACAGACTACCCATTTCTAGCAAAGTGATGACACCCCAGTCACCAAAACATCATCAGTTTTTTGGCTCAGGTAAGCATTATGATGAAAGGTGTTCGAACAAATGCCAGCAATAGTGGGGAAGATAGCAGCAGGACAGAAGACACTGCTCCCAGAGATAGCCAGGGTAATTTGCTTACTTCGTTTCCTCCAAAGCCCATGAAGAAGAGAAGAATGAAATCCCAAACAGACAACAGAAATTTTTGAGACTTGCAACAGTCCGTGGTATACCTGAATTCTGGGAGCATGTGTCAGACCCAAGACATAATTAAGTAGCAGATGGCAGGTCAAGCAGCAGAAAAGTACCTCCCAGTACCTCATCTTACTAATTCGAAGCAGCTGGCCACTTATCTAATGACCATTTTCAAGTTATATAGGGGTCTTGCTCCTCAAAGTCTGGTCCTTGGACCAGTAGTATGGCCAACACTTGGAACATGTCTGAAATGAACATCTCAGGCTCCACTCCAAACCCACTGAATCAGACACTGGATTGAACAGAACATCACAGACTTAGAGAGTTCATAGCTCAGGTTAAGACTAGGAGAAGCCTTGGTCTCACTATAAATTAGACTCTCTTTTGAAAACCAAGAAAATAAATAAGCACATATAATAATAAAACATACAATAAAGACAGGGAGAAAATGAAAACTCTTCTCAGGACGAATTTAGTGACATCAAAGAAGAAGACAAGAAACAAACTCAATAGAGGTATATTATCTGTTGTACTAGATCCACTCCGTCCTATCTTCACCTTGTTCTGGGCCCAGGGAGGCCAGACTGGATGGGATTCTTCTTGCCTGGCCCCTTAGCATATGGTTTCTGCTTGTACCCTAGGAAAGCGAAGGGTAAAGAAGAATGATATTCCCTGTGGGCTGGCCCTGACCTGGTTGTGTCTCTCTGCGAACAGCCCTCATATCTCTGCGTTCAAGGAACTGCAGTCTTGTCTTCCTCTTTAGGTATAAGGCTGGCTGCAGCACCTTGCTGTTATTAATTCCCATTTACTGTACTTAGCACTCCTGGAGTGGCACTGCTGGACCACAAGGTCGGTTTGAACTGCAAGGTCTGAGGTTCAAACTCACCAGCCACCCCTCAGAAACCCTATACAGTGTCACTATGAGTCAGGACCTACTCAAAAGCACCTAACAACAAAGGCAACAACACTGCACTCAGGGGAGGATTACTTCATAAACTATATAAGCATGGGCTTACTTAAGCTTTCTTACTAATCTGTAGTGAGCAGTTCCACATGCATGTGAAACTATTCACAGCTGATTAATAAACAATCACAAGTAAGTCCATGCTTATCATGCTTACTAGGCACTATGTCCTTGTCAGGAATTGTAACTTGGAAAAGAGTCTTTAATTCTATAGGATGGTGCTGTGGGTTTGGGAGGGAGACAGAATCTTTGATGTGGTAAGAAAAAAAAAAGGTGAAAATGTTGACTACAGATTAGGAATTAATCACAAGTAACCACTACCGACCTTGCCTATTGGATAATCTATACTACCCCTTCTTCCACCTATTTAATAATCCATCAATAAACTTTCTTTATAGTACTCAATTAGAGTGCACAGTCTGTTTTCTGCTGTAACCCTGACTGATGGCTCAAAGGCAACCTGTTGGTTCAAATAAAGAAGGAAAAAAAAAAACAACAACAAAACCCATCATAAGGGAAGAGACATAATGAACACATCCATAGGTCTTGGAGTTGCAAACAATTGTACTAAGGGCTGATGCTCTTTCAAAGTAGATGATTGTTGTTGTTATTAATTGCCATCAAATCGATTCTGACCAATTGTGATCCTGTATAGGGTGTCCAAGGAGAAGCTGGTAAGGAAATAGGCTCTGAACAAGCTTAAGAATAAGCTCTCCATTCATCTGTTATGGAATTCTAATGCTCAAAATGGGGATTCTATTGCATTTCAACACAGATAGTTCATTTATCACATGTAGACTATCTGTACCTTCTAAAACCAACATTACTTGCTTCCATGAAACAGCTTTAGAATATAAGAAACCTCCTGAAGATGTTTCCCCTCTTTCTCTCCTGTCTAATATGCAAAGTTGGTCACTGGTTTTCCTGCAGGACTCAACCTTTCACAATCATCAACTTGTTCAATGTCTTCATTTCTTTTCATAGCATGAAGTTGATTTTCCAGAAGCTTCCACAATTAGATCTGATTAAATTTCTTTTGACTCCTATTGCTTATCACTGGTTTTAGAGTTTCCGTTTTACTTCCTAGTTTGGGGAGTAGTGCCTGGGGTCTTAAAAGCATGCAAGTGGCCACTGGAGATATACCAATGGGTCTCTATTCACCTGAAATAGCAGAGGGAGGAGACTCGGGAATCAGAGAAGGAAATGAACTGCAGGTTTAATTGCTTCCGCAAACTACTACTTCCATTATTATCAGACCAGAAGAAGTGGAAGGAACCTGGCTACCATTATTGAACAATTTGATAAGAAGCTAACAGATGGAACTTGATCAAGAGGAAAGCATGGAACAGAGCTTCAAATTCATATGAAAACTACACTTACTGGATCCATTGAGCCTGGGAAATCTTCCAAATCTAATGCCTAGAAATAGTCTTTAAACTTTGAACTGAAGCTATCCCATGAAACCATTGTTAAATTAAACAATGATTTTACCTAATTAATAAAGAACATTTGCTATTTACCTAATTAATAAAGAACATTGAATACTGTGCTCTTATAAAGATACAACCTTGCTTGCTGAAAGTAAAGAGGACTTAAAATATTTATTAATGAAGATCAAAGACCACAATCTTCAGTATGGATTGCATCTCAATGTAAAGAAAACAAAATTCCTCACCACTGGACCAATGAACAACATTTTTATCAATGGAGAAAAGATTGAAGTTGTCAAGGATTTCATTCTTCTTGGATCAACTATCAACACTCATGGAAATAGCAGTCAAGAAATCAAACAACGTATTGCATTAGGCAAATCTGCTGCACAAGACCTTTTTAAAGTGTTGAAGAGCAAAGATGTCAGCTTGAGGACTAAGATGCACCTGACCCAAACCTTGGTATTTTCAATAACCTCATATGCATGCAAAAGCTGGACAATAAATATGGAAGACCGTAGAAGAATTGATGCTTTTAAGTTACGGTGTTAGAGGAGAATAATGAAAGTGCCAATGGGCTGCCAAAAGAACCAACAGATCTGTGTTGGATGAAGTGCAGCCAGAGTGCTCCCTGGAGGCAAGGATGGCCAAACTTCATCTCTCATACTTCAGACACCTTGTCAGAAGGGAGCAGTCTCTGGAGAAGGATATCATGTTTGGTAAGGTGGAGCGTCCAGGGAAAGGGGGGGGTCCCCAGTGAGATGGATTAGCAAAGTGGCAGGCAGCATCAATGGGCTCAAGTGTGGCAACAATAGTGAGGTTGGCCCAGGATCAGGCAGTATTTCATTCTGCTGTGCATAAGGTCGCTATGAGTTGGTACCGACTCGATGGCACCTAACAACAACAACAACTAAAGACCTTCTATATAAAAGTAAACTGACAGCAGTTCACCTAAAGCATAGACGAGAACTTTAAGGAGCAGAGCATCTAAATTAAAGGCAGTAAGAAATATTGGCAGAGGCAGTGAGAAAGGTGGCTAAATGTCACTAAACAGTTCATGGAGCAATTGTGAATGGATCTGTTTGTGTATACTGCCACCACAAATATATAAATTTAAAAAATCTTTGATTCCCTAATATCACCAAATGGCAAATGTGCACACCACTGACCTGTCTACAAAACAAAGCATGGAACTAGAGAGCAGCCCTGGTGTGTCCCTTCTCTGTACTGTTCCCAGAGGCCCTGAGGCTGTGCGGGCTAGGGACAGCCCAGGGACCTGGGAGGCTGAGGCAGAGCAGGTCTCAGAGTCCAGAGCGTGCACTTGGGGGTAAGGATCCAGAGAAGGAAGAGGAGACTGCCTGGATAGGCCCAGGAGTCATGGCCTCCAAAGTAGGACAATCAGGAAGAAATCTCAATGTGGAAATGTCCTCCAAGAAAATCAAGGAGAGGAGCAGGTCCCCATGAAGAATGAAGAGGAAGGTCACACTTTGAGAGGAGGTGAAAGCCGGCAGCCTGAAGGAAATGTTAGACAGGAACTTGTTTGGTGACTTGCCCATAATTTCCGATGGGGTATATATCTAATAGGCATTTTGGCCACAGTGAAGTGAGAGATGATGTACAAAGGCTCACAAAGCAGATGATGGAAGTCAGGAGAAAGATTAAGGAGTGTCAGATGAAGCGCTATATGTGCTCTCAAATTCCTGAACCAGACAATCATGATGACTTTTGCCTTATACCTTGAATACTATGATTTTCCCTCAAGTTAATAACGTGGCTTCTGCCTTACAACTTGTGTTGCTGTGGTTCAGTTTTGCTGTCAACTTTTTGGTGTTTCCATTTACCAGTTTCAAATTAAATACTGTTTTGTGTCAAGTTTCAAATTAAATAATCATTTTGTGTTGGTCTAAAAAACAACAACAACAAAAAAAAAAAGCATGGAACTAACAGGGGAAGTGTAGTGCACACCACTTCAGAGGGGTCACCTCAACAAGTTCAAAAGACCAGATCTGTCAGGCAAAAGATGCATCCCTGCCACTCTCTGCTCCAACCACGTCAAAGTGTTATTTACTGTAACATCCACAATCCTATCTCCAATGACCTCTTAGCTAACTCTACATTACCCAGCTTTTAAGACCCTTAGTAGGCCCCATCTTTATTAGGTTCTCCTTTACACCTCTAAAACATACAGCTGTCCCTTCCCCAATTATTTTGGAACTTCCTTGCTTCTAAGTTAGGGCCCAAAGAATCTCCTGTAAACAGAATACATGTACAAACACATATAGATGTACTATTGTTGTTGTAGTTAAGTGCCATTGAGTCGGTCCAACCCATAGCGACCTTGTGTAGGGTTTCTAAGGCGCACCTGGTGAGCTTGAACCACCAACCTTGCAGTTCAAACCAACTTTGCAGTCCTGCGCATTAACTCACAGCGCCACACCAGGACTCCATAGATGTACTATACAGGGCAGGAAAATTCAAGCATAATTTTAGGTTCCTGGTTTGTCAGCCTATGATTTATTGAGGTAGGAAAAAGAGAACGAAGAGGTTTGAAAGATAAAGGAAGAAATACTGAATCCAGTTTGAGGCATGTTAAATTGCTGAGCCAATGAGATATACAAATGTTCGTATTCAACACACATACATGTGGCTCTGTTTGTGTATACTGCCACCCAAAATACATAAATCAAAAAAAATATCTTTGACTCCCTTATATTACCAAATGCCAAATGAACACAAGAAAACATTTAGATTGGAGGCATAGCTATTGTAGTTGTAAATATTTAGGTGGCAATGGAAACCAAGAGTGGATAAGATCACCAAGAAAAAGCAGGACTGGTACAGCACAAACAGGACCAAGGGCCAAGTCTTGATTTTGTGGTTAGCTAGAGGAGGATGAGTTGAAAAAGGAGACAGAAGCATCATGCAGACAAATAGAAGGAATTTCAACAGAGTTGGGGGATGCGTGTGGATATGTGATGCTACAGGACACTTAAAACAGAGGAACTGAGATTTTCACACATACTTGTATTTCAGATCTCCTGGGTTTGGCAAAACTTGGATTGAAAATCAAAATAATTGAAAGTTATTACATTTAAAGTCTTGGTTTATCAAACATGGTATATCAAAATTAAAGAATCTGCTTGAAATGTGCAGGAAATATGAAGTACACCTAGAAACTCATTTTTTAAGAAATAGTTGTGGTTGGTAAGTACTGTTGAGTCAGTTGCAACTCATAGGGTTTCCGAGGAGTGGCTAATGGGTTTGAATTGCCAACCTTGAGGTTGCCAGTCCAGTGCTTAACCTACAACACTACACCAGTACTATAAATATTTACCAGGAAGTAGTCCATAAAATCACAAATGTTACATCTATGACAAACTGTATGAAGATGTTTAAGATCCACCTGATAGTGTTTTCAAAGCTGTCTTATAGGAGAGAAATTATACACACATTCACACATTACACAGCCATCTCCAGGGAAAGACAACTTCACTGCATAGAATCTGGGACTACTCTGCTATGGCAGCTTTCGACACGCGCTATTGTTATTGTTGTTAAGTGCCGTCGAGTGGATTCCAATCCATAGAGACCCTGTCTGTATAGGGTTTCCAAGGCACAGCTGGCGAATTTGATTTGCCGACCTTGCAGTTCAAACGGCTTTGCAGCCTGGCGCATTAACCCATAGCACCACACCATAAAAATAATTATTGAATAAGAAATATTGGCTTTAGGTTAGATTTAAAGAAGAGTTCTTTGTGATGGAAAATTGTTACACACTGGAATGATGATTGGAATCAAAAGACCATAGAATATCCTCATCTAATACTCTTTAAAAGCAAAAATGGGTTCTTATCCGTCTGGAACTATCTAAGTGTAGGCATACCTCAAGGTAAAGCAGACGGACTTAGAGATCTCTCATGCGTCCTTTCTTTTCAAAATATCATGATTCTCTTCACTGTTCTACTGTTTTTCATAGAAGAGGCTTTCATGTTTCCAATATCCAGTCCACTAGGATAGATTGCCTCGCCAAGTTTCTCAGACTCACTGATTTTTCCACTTCCATGGAAAGCTCAGCTGAATGCATCTTTCATCTTTAATTATACTTCGGAATATTTTCCTGTTATAAGAGTACTACTTATTAACATTCACTCTTTGGTTATTTGTCCTCTCTATCCTGTCCCTATTCTGTTTGTCTACCTATAAAATACATTACTGGTTGGTTCTTCCTCACTGAAGTATAGCAATTTGAGAACTCAAAGTTGGTGGGTAAATATGAACTATAAATGACATGTGAAAAAATTATTAACAGGGATTTTACTAGGTCAGAATTTTATTGCTTTTGGCCAAGGGCCATCATGAAACTTATACAGGAAAGATTACATACAAAGAGACCTTTAAAATAAGTTATAAAGATCAAATGAGAACTAAGTTAGAATGAGTCCCTAAGTGTAAAAATAGATAACATTTCAAAGTTAATTTAATAAAACGAGTCATAAGGTCAATACATCATTGCATCATTTTGGCTGCAGCATCTAACACAACATTAGTTCTGATTTTGAAGTACCCAGTGAATAAAAGAAGATAAAAATTTTTGCATGTGTTGACATGCACAGTTTCTTTTCCCAGTGATGTTCTAGTAAAAAATATTCATTTAATTATCTTAAGAAATTGAGTCTTAGTAATTTTTCTGGTACAAAGGGGAAGAGCTAAATATATATGGAGCACTGCCAATGTACTAAGCTCTGTCCTGTTAGCTGTATACAACTTTTCACTTAATACTTACAATGACTCCAGGAGGGAAGGATATATTAGTTCCAATTTCTAGACAAGGAAACAAAGGTTCAAAGAGATGAGACAACCTCTCCCATGTCACACATTAGTAAATGCCGGAGCCAGAGTCTAGACTCAATATTATCTAAGCCTGTGCAGTTACACCATGACCCACTTTGGCGAAGAGGAACTATAGAAGGGCCTTTTCTATCCCAGATTCCCTTCAATATGGGTTCAACTAATCTGGAGTCTTGCCTTTAATTATGAAAGTAGACATGATTTAGAAAAAGACTGCCCAGAAAGCCTGGCTGTGCTTATGAATGGTCACATCTATTAAAAAAAAAGTTCAATTCTATTCAGGCCTTCTATAACTTTTAAACACACTGGTATCAACAAAAGTCAGTTTCTTGGGGACATTGGCAGAGTACTTTATTCAAAGTTCCTTTAACAAGAAGACTTGGTGATTGTTTTGTTATCACCATTACCCCAGTTGCTATTGAGTTAATTCCAACTCTTGGTAATCCCATAAGGCTCAGAGTAGAACTGCACTCCATAAGGTTTCCAATGCCTGATGTTTTTTAGAATAGATCACCAGGCTTTTCTTCTGAGGTACCTCTGGATGGATATGAATCCTGAACTCTCCAGTTGACAGTTAACTGTTAACTTCCAGAGTGCATTAACTGTTTGCACCACCCAGAGACTCCTAACCTTTGCTAAACTTCTCTCCTTGCCAGGCACTTGATAGTCATTTACTCATAGAAATTTCACAATCATTCTGCTATTATAATTTTATAATGGAGAAGTTGAGACTCAGAGAAGTGAGGCTATTTGATAAACTTTTAATAAGTAAGTGAACTAAGATTTGAATCTAAGGCTTGCTTCACAGTAATGCCAAATGAAAAGCAATACTGGGTCATCTACAGCAGTGCTTCTCAGACTCAAATCACCTTGGGATCTTGTGAAAATGCAGGTTCTGATGTAGTAGATCTAGGGAGGACCTGAGATTCTACATTTCTAGCTAGCTTCTAAGTTAGGCCTATGCTGCTGGTTCACAGACCACACTAGAATAGCGAGAATCTAAGGCAGCAATTCTCAGACTTTGCTATACATTAAAATAACAGGAAATGCGGTGGAGGCCAGGGGTTAGGGGTGTCCAGTTGATAACACAGCAGTTAACTATTGGTACCACACAGAAATTGCCTTTCTGATATAGTTGATAAGATATACAGTTGCTGTGGTTAGGTGCCGTCGAGTTGGTTCCAACCCATAGCGACTTTAGGTACCACAGAATGAATCACCACCAGGTCCTGTAACATCTTCACAATTGCTGCTATGCAGTGTTGTCACTGTGCCAGTCTATCTTGCTTGGTGTCTCCCTCTTTTTCACTATCCCTCCACTTTACCAAGCATGATGTCCTTCTCCAGAGACTGACCACTCCTGATAATATGTCCGAAGTATGAGAGGCAAAGTCTGGCCATCTTGGCTTCTTAAGATATACAGTGGCGGCAGATAAACATTTGGTGTGGGGGGTGGGAGATGCCATCTGTGCATCACCCCAAGCCCACATCTCAGCTCTGCAAACATTTACACCACTAGTTGGCAAGGGAAGAACTTTACAGCAAGAATGAGCAGTCCCCTTTTATAAAGTAGAATTTAGGTCTATTTTCTATGATCTTAGAGGCTGCCTCCTTTCAAAAAATGTTTATGATCCCATCCAAAAGGCTCCATCCCAGGGGTTGGTTGCATTTCTTGAGGGGAGAAGACTGGTAATTTGGAGGTGTTTGCTGCAAAGCTCTTTTGAAATTCTTCGCCATGTTCCACCATTCTGCTTTGCATTTCTCTCCTTTACAGCTCACTCCCAGGTTTCAGACAGCTTCCTATCACAGACTAACTGCAAGTGAGTCTCCTCCATTTCTGCAATCATCTTCAAGGCTGGCTTCCATGGAATGTTTTGCTATTTCAGTGGAAGC